GCGGATTCCCGTCGAGTTACTGACTTACTTTGGCTGCACCCTTTCCCTCGATCGCCTCCTCCCCCTTCGTCACATGTTTACGCGAACGATGTAATAACGTGCTCTGAGAAATGAAAAATTACACACTAATCGAGAACTGTGACTAACTTTTACTTATCCTTTAACAGATTATTTATCGGTTGCTATTTAACACTAGAACTACCGGAGATAAACGCATATTTGCTTCGATCGGTGGATAAAGGTGAAAAACTTTTTAAAATTTAGAAATTGACTAATTTCTTCACTTTCATATCGTAGTAAAAGGCGCAAAAGATCTGAGAAAAAACAAAGCCATTGCTAAACAACACTGAAACCAACAAAACTCTAGCACCCCACTAACCCATCACCACCTTTCCATAGTCCACATACACTTCCCTTTTCAAACACGATCGAAGACACCCTCTCTCTCGCACTATAAACGAAAATGCGTCTATCCATAAGGATTTCGAAGAACACGACGCACAGGTAGAGAAAGAGAGAGAACCAAGAGGAAAGAAGGAATAGGTTTCTCGATAGAACCACCCGTGCGTGGCAGCTGCGATCCTTTTTTTCCCCGAATCTTCCCTTCTGCGTTTCCTCCTCTTCCGAGATCTCGTGTTTTGCCCCGGCTACATAATCCCTTCGACCAAGACGGAAAGAGATCGGGGGAGGGATAGATCGACGAAAAACGTAAGAATCCACTCCTAAGACGAAACGAGACATGCATAGAGAAACGGAGAAAGAACGACAATGATCGCGAGGTTAGTGTTGAAAAGAGAGAGGAGGATAAGCGTGGACGTGAAAGAGCGAGGAATATCACTCACCGCACAGCGACGAGGGGGAGTAACGGGGACGACCCCGCTGTTTGCCTTTTATTAAACTCTTGTTAAACGCCGCCTTTCTTCGCACACACAATTGAATCGGCAAAACAGCGAAGATAATGCGCCCCCGTAGCCACCCCCCGAGCGATCGTGGCTACGGGACGGAGGGGCTCGAACGTCGGAAGACTTACCGCAAACACCAGCTCCTTATACACCCTGAAATGGACACCGTGTAATCCGGCTCTTTATACGGCACTGTCGGCATTGACCGATTCTCTCTTTCTCTGCTCCAACGGTGCACATCGAGCACTACAGCCGCGGGGGTATAGACTAAATGCCTGGCGTGTCCGTTCGTTCTTTCTGAAAGAGAGATCCCCGAAACGATCCTTGAAACGACCGTGAAAATCGGCGACAGGGGGCCCACAGCGACCCCTCCCCCCTCTTCCTGTCGGCGCACGGACCTCGAACGAAAATATTTGGATGTTTCGAGGCACGATATGTACTTATTTGGCGTGGGCAGCGTTTCAAAGACCCGCCTCTCCTCTTTCATTGTCCTGGCTGGGTCGAGGCTTGCAGATTTTCGCGACGGTAGACTCGAATGGGGAGGGGGGCAGAAACGATTTTCGTATTTTTCTGGTTTCATCGAATTTATCTGTATTCGGAGCGATGGTATTTCGGTGTACGAATGATATTTGTACGGGGAATTGAAAATGAATATTCAAGAAATTATAATTTTGAAATAATAATATAGTAAATCCTCGATGAATGTTCGGAGGCTTCTCGGCACTGACAAAGAGAGGTCCTAAGGCGTAACGCTAACTTTTCAATGAGGTTTAGCACAGTGATTGAGCTTGAAATTCTGAAGCCAATGATCTTTGTTTCAGTTGCACATTGCCATTAGTTTATGAAACATTTAATGTTAAGTGCCGAGGAGCCTTCGCACACTCGAGGATTTACTGTAGTTGTCATTATAGTCGGTGACTAGAGCCATCACAGTATGAAAAATATGTTTTTTCAAAGAACAATATTAATGAAGTATTTTATTATTTCAAACTTCACTTATCCGTACACTTGTGTCTCCCAATTACTTAGGATGTGGTAGATTGTACTTATCGAAAAGAAGTACTAAATTATTCATTATTAAATGTAAATGAAAAGTTTACAACTTTAATTTCTCTTCGATCAATTATTCTAAAAATGAAAGTAGTTGGATTGCATTGAATTTTATTGCATTCATTGAAGCATCTGGTTCCAGGCGATAACCGATTTTAATTATTGTTTATTCGTAACCCCTTTGTTTGGTCGCATCCGCCATTCGTTTGCGTCGTTGCAATCATTTGCAAAACGACTCGATAACGCCCGAAATCAAAGGTTACGCCGAGAAAAATACAATGAAACGTAACCGCGCAATACGACAAATTACGCACCGCGAAGAGAAAAGAAACGAGAAAGCAACAGAGAATCGCGTTGTGTTGTGCCACAGAAGAAATCACAATTCGATGTCCCGGCGAATGGAAATGTGATTGAAAATTTCCAAATGTAGGTTCGTATACCGCAACTGTTCGTTAAAAAATAACTTGTTAACAAAATTTTCCGGTTACAATTTTATTTTTACAATTTCGTTTCACGGAAGCGTATGCAGTTCGAAAACGGCGTGGAGGGATGCGATCATGCAAATCAAATGAAAAGAAGGGAACAGCTGCGGGCACAGTTTATAAACGATGTTTATTTTTGCAATTCTGTTTCCATTTTTAATTCTCGTTTAGAATCACAAGAGAGCAGCCTCTACAATTTATTTACCATTCTTTCGTTTCCTTTTTCGGTTTAATTGATTGAAAAATCTTGCGCGTTCTCTATGTCTGTACGTGTCTCTCTTCTGTATGCGTGTAGGTCCAGTGTCTCTCTGTCCTCCTTTGTGTGTACGTAGTACGTTTTTCAGAGTGTATACACATATACATATATCGTTCATTTATTTATTTATATAATGTATATCGAGGTAAAAACTAAGTACTCATACAAAACGTAGATTAGCTCATTAACAAGTTTCTTTGTCTCTGTTTCGGGTATGTGTGTGTATGTGTTTTTCTTGTTTTCTTACCATTTCGTGGGATTTTGTTACAGGTACATTATAAAATTAAGACACTCTATGCGTGTGGTACATACATATAAAACATACATATACGCATGTTCTTCTATAGATATATGTTACATATACACATACGTTTTACAACATACTTTCTGAATGAGATATGACGTCGGATATCGTTTCGTTATTACATTCTAAAACTCCATTCCCATACGTCCTTTACGCGTCACATGTTTATTTTTCTCATCGTCGTCGTTGTCGACGCGTTCCTTCGCTTTCGGGTCTTTCGTCTCCTCGTGGTTCGCTCGATATAAACTTCGCGTGTTATTTATTGACTAGCGATAATAATAATTGACTAATAAATACGAAGATGGAAAATCCGTGATTGGATTCTTTGGGGTAGAGCTCTTTTCACGGGTCCAAGCCTCCGGGAAAATACTATTATCTTAAGAACTTAACGTCACTTTGGTCTTTCCTTTTTTTTTTGCGTGTTTCTTTTTCTTGTTTCCCTTTTTACGAAGGATCTTATATTCTAACCGACCACGCCTTTGGCGACGACGGCCGACAAAACGCGTTTTTGGAAGAAAGAAAACAGAGGGAAGGGAGTGGTTGATGATAAAAAATCTAGGTGAAATCGGTGGATTAGAATTGATAATATTAAATTGGCGATGGTAATATTACTTTTGTTCAATCGGCGAAAATATAGCAGAAAGACTGAAAAAATTCGTAAAGTACCTCCATTTGCTTCGACTAGTTACCTACTTTCTTTTTAGTAAGGATTTGATAGACATATTGTGTATTGTTATAGTTGTATATAGTCGTAGAAATAGTTGTTTGGGTTACAAGCAGATCCCTAGTAACAGTTAGTTGCATTCGATTAATTGACCATTTTATATCTGAATGTTATAAATAATACATAGAAAACCGTACATAACACTGCAAAAGGTTCGGTATATGTTGCAACTAAATCGTAGATGTTTATGTAAATTCTCTATATATTATTTAACAATAATTATAAATATATTCCAAACATGAATGAATTTGTTAAGTTAAATATGAGATATGGTTTTCATTAATCATTTTTAACTTCTTTGTATGGAATTTTAAAGGTCTTTACATATAAAAATACACTTATATATTCACCACGATAAAGTCTCGTTTAAATAACTTTAGGGTAGATTGTTCCATATAATAAAACCCAAACATATATGTTTGGTTAATGTATTACTTATAAAAAATTCAATTTCAAAGGGATTCACAATTTCTACTATCAAGACCATCTTTGTTTAAATCAAGTCCACCATATTTGGTCTACGATACCAATATGGCCTTCTACTTTCAAAATTTCTTTCAGACCTCTGTAGCAACTTTACGTTAAAAAATATTCAGCATATCGAAGGAAACCTTTAAGACGAAGAAATTCTTATACAGACCGACCGAAAATATGTACGAATATTTCATTTTGTCTCATTTATTCCGATTCTTCTTGCGTACGCGCGTCCCTGTAAAAAAGTGACAAATGCTTGGATAAGGAAATCACTATAAGTGACTTACCCTACTTACAAAAATATGTAAAATTTGACCGTGTTTCAACTCGCTTCTTTGGATGGATGTTCATTTTAGATAATTACGTTTGTATATGTTTATGTCAAACTCATTTATATCCGTCAATTTAAACAGATGAATTTAGAGTGTTTAAAAAACATAGATGCAACGTTTTAAATTGATAATCAGTTTTCTTTGAAAAAATTCTACAAATACTGCCTCTTACCTGTATCTACGCTGCATCACACTGTTCACGGAATTCTAAAAGTGTACATTTATGTGTGCGTGTATCTATCAAAGATGATATTCCATTTGTACACAATTTCATCGTCACTATTATATCGCCATTTTATATATCTATTAGCGTGTATCGCTCTTCATCATCAAATTGGCACTGTTTATTACACGACAATTCCATCATCAATAGGCAATTGAAAAAAAAAAGAGAAAAAATCTAGAAAACTAGAAATTGACTAATCATCGAACATAAGAGTCCACTTCTTAACAACAAATATATGTATACATCTGTGTATATCTCTCTATATATATTAAAATATTATAATATATCACCTGCGCTATTCTCGATCCGCCTATCATTGAGTAATATAAATACAACAACAAGTTAACTTCTATCGACGTTATAAAAAAAGGTGTACATATTTCCAACGGAGAATGAAAAAAAGAAAACAGTTTCCGTGTGTACAAATGTTTATACCCGAAGAGTCGAAGGAAACGAATCGTCTCTCGTAGAAAATCAACTCGGATCAACCGCTACAATGAATACAAACGAAAGAAAAGGAAAATACAGTCCGCTGATTCTTATCCGCTAACGACGACGTAGAACCACGATTCTCGCAGTTTAATAATAAATCCATCTATTGTCTCGGAGTCTGGTAACAGTGGTACGGTTTTGTAAAAAAAAAAAACAAACAATTTAAGAAACGGTGTCTACAAGTATGCGTATATCGAACATATTCACTTTGAGCGACGCGAACCTAAAACTACACCTAAGTACTACAGCTTCCGATAAACACCCTCTGCGACGGAGGCGGGTAACAGTTTCCAAACCCCACCGAGAAATGTAACAAATTACGTGTACGGCGCGAATGGCGAAAGAAAGTACCATAGATTGAATACATTGATAGAAGAAACCATACATAGATCAACGAAAAATTCATCGACATCGTATCAATGAACATTCGTAGATTATTCATGAATTTCAAAGGGGCTAAAGTGATTCAACTAGTTACCGGAAGTACGCATCGTTTAAAGGCTGAACACTCTCGATAAAAAGTGGTTACAGGTTCCACGACGAGATCAGTCGCCTTATTCAATTTGTGCTCCTTCGGTCAGGTAACTGGACCGATTCGTGTTTACGCTCGAAGGTGAATGGTTCTCGGAAGTAAGTAGCCTCTCGTTCGAATTCAGTTCGATCGAGGAAGAACCCGATATTCGCGTGGATGCTCGACGCTATTGGTGGCCATGATCTCTCCCCACCGTAGTGTGTGTGTGTGTGTGTGTGTGTATGTTTTGGACGTGACAATTTACGCGATGCGTTTTACCTATCCACCTGTAACAGAGATCCCCTTCGTCCTCTTTCGACCCCGTTTTTTCTTCTCAGCTTACATGGTCTTACTCTACGAGTACATTAGAAGCCTGTGACGCGCGTGTGTATCACCTCTCGTGAGGTGGTTGGGGGGTGGGGACACAGTCGAGATACGGTGAAGTGAGTAGTGTGAATCGGTTACGGCGACGCCACTACCTAGGACTCTAGGGTGGTGTTCGACGGTGTATACGACATCTCCATGGTGATACCCGCGCTGCTGCGACGGAATCTCGACGGGATGTCGGTGCTGTTCCGTGGCTTGCGTCTGCTCAGGTGCCTCTCCACCCACTTCAGCATGGTCAGCACAGAGTCTGTGCTGGGCAGACGTCGCTCCGCCGAGGTACGAATTATATGCGAGGACGCGACGCGGAACGTAGCTGCCATACCTTTCAACGCCTGCGGAACACGTAATTATTATGCATTAATCCACGTGATCCAATTGTAGTTCACGGTGTTTCTCTTCGCGCAGCCGGACGTGAAATGCATTATGAATCGTCTCATCGTGTCTCCAGACGGATTTATGATTCTGTGATTGCTTAGTATGATTTTCTCACGGTCGCTATTTCGCTGGTTGATGGGATTTGAACTACACGCGTACTGATTTTCTTTCTATAGAACTACAGTAGGCTCCACGAGAAAGCTACCGGTCTTCATTTTGTACTTCTTTCATACCTGTGTCACATCAAGTAGATTCTAGGAGAAAAGAAATCGGCCGATTGGTCACCAGACCAGAAGTCGAAACTGGGGTCTTTCGCTTTCTCCTAACTTCGCATAATCTCAAACACAGATGGCTGCCGCGCTCAGGTCGCTTATAAGTAGTATTTCTTACGACGTGTACTTATGTTACATCGAATTACTTAAATATCAGTATCGATATTAAAAAATCGAGAGTACCTGTTCTGGCCAAAGAAGTAGCTCTATCCCGGAGTCTACTGCACGCTATCGTAACTTCAAACAAGCACAGCTCCCGATCCGATGAATTCACTTTCGCCACACCGTTTAAGACTTTCTTCTATTATTCTTACCCTCATAGCATCTTCGTCCGTGACGTCGTCACCGGCATAGATGATCCTGATGCGTTCGCTCCAATCGACGCCGAATGCTGTCCGCAAGATATAGATAGAGGCACGACCTTTGTTCCACTCGACCGGTGGTTTCGCCTCGATCGCGCAATGCGCGGAACAGGCCTTGAAACCGGCGTCCTGGATGATTTTCTTCGCCTGTTCGATCATTTCCGGACGACGTTCCATCGGTGTCTCACGATAATGGAACGTGAGCAAGGCGCCTTTGTTTTCCACCCAGGCCCCGTCTCTGCACAGCTGGTGTTCCGTAACAGTCGTTAGTAAAATAACGCAGCGTAAAACGATTGTAGCCGAGAGCTTTCGAGACTTGTGCATCAACTAGGTAAGACTAAAATATTTCTCGTCAAGTGATCATGAAAGATTTACTGGAACCAGAGAAATTGTCTCGTTGCTACGCGTTTCACTCGATTATTCATCATTTAGATTTAATTTCTCTTGAATTATCCTGTGTACCATGAGTCCTTCGATAAATGGTGGTCTATTACTATTGTCCAAGTGTGGTCCAGCTGGTTTGAACATATTACTCTTCTTGTAATAAAAATGCTGCAAGCTTGCATTACTTATTAGAGACATAGTAGTTACGTCACTGCACAGACTTTCAAATACTTTCATGTGATCTATGAGAGACACAGGTCATGTCACATATATAACCAGTGCAACATGTAAGAACCCAAGTCTCGAGAATCTCCGCCTGACACAATGATCACCGAAAACTCACTTGGTCTTGCAGGGTCTGCATCAGGTTCGCCACCTTTCCCTCGAGTTCAGCCGGCATCGGATGAACGAACTTGCTGCCGTCCGGGTGCAATATCTCCAGACCGTGATTGCCGGCGTACGTGATACCTTCTATACCGACCATAGACTTTACGTTGTTCACATTTCTACCTGATATAATTGCTATGTATACGTCAGACATATTAGACAGCCTTTGCAAGACGTTCTTCGTCTCCAGAGGCAATATGGCGAGGTCCGGATGGGTTGCGATTGGCGCTAAGGTGCCATCGTAATCCAGCAGCAGAGCCAACTTATGGTTGTCGCCGATATACCTAGGGGACATGTGTTATCACTGGAACGTTACCCGGCTTTCATCATGAGTCAGGTCGCATTCGCACGCGCGGGGCCCGCCGCTTGTCCAAAAGCAATCTCTGGCTGTCGATGGAGAAACTGTCGTTCTCGAAACGCGTCGATCACCGAACGCGGACATCAAACCCAGAAATTTTGTCACCAACGTGCCAATCCCCAAGGGGACCTTCATTCACGATCACTGAACGGATAGACCCGTTTTGGGAATAATTTTGTAACAACAGGATGGAGAGTTCCAGGAATGTAAAACGTTGTATGTGCGCAAGTTAATACGCGAGATCCGTCAAGCCAAATTGGTAGTTCAGAAATAATTACCATCGAAAGCATACCGCGGGTGTGATAACTGGTATTTCCCACGCTGCGACGTACCCAAACTCATGCTTAATTTAATCATCAGTTTGCAATCTTTGAATTATACTAATTCTTTAATTATATTGCATTCCATTTCAATTATTTCGTCGATCAATCCTCGACCAACCGATTTCGAAATGTGTCTGACCCGTCTTTGTACATAGTATGTATAAGATACATTTTCGTATTGGGTCACAATTGACTCTTCCTGTGATCGATGATCGGCTGCTCGAGGGTTAAGATCGTAACTTTAGAAGCATCCCCAGCGAACAGTGTATAGGCAAACCCTGTTAAGCCAGACACTTCTGCGAGGCATAGCGATCAAATGGGTTTGCCTATAACGTATTTATTAAAGTGCGATTAATTGTTAGACAAGGAAGTGTAGTGTTAAATTATTAACTCCGTGGGAATACTTGAACGTACATACGTCGTACGTTATTGGTTCCCGCTTAAGCGTGTGCTCTGGTCGGGCCCAGTCATGCACATCTGGTGAACTTCTCGGATACCTACTTGCTCAAGTAATCGTCGAAATCGTCCATGGTCACGGGCTGCATCGTCGTCGCGCCGACGGAGTCGTGTTCCTCGAGCGAGCCCATCACCTGCAGGAACGACTTCATCCAGTAATTGACGTCGTAGATCCTCTCGCGGCGACGCAAGTAATTCATTCGAAGCGTGCGTTCATCCTCCGGCATGGTTAGTGCTCTGAAATGTGGTAATTACACGAGTCAGACACTCTATTCTACTTCACATTGAAACTGTCTAAATTGCAGCATCGTACAATGTGTCTCAGGTCGGTTGGTATATTCTTGAGGTGACCTTGCACCTGTATATTGTAATGGGAAGAACAGGTATACAATATATCGATTGTCCAACGTCTATGACACTCTGTATTCAGGTTAGGTAAAATTACAGGTGTGCCTTCAGTATCAATATTGAAGTACAAGGTCATCTCAAGAGAAAGTTCCACTGAACGAGAACGTGGATGACTCTCAAGTATCCGTAAAAATTACGATGTATTGAAATGTATTTCTATCATAATTTTTAGTCACACTGTAGCGTGTACATCTAGGTGTTGTATATTTCAGAATCATAAATAAAACCAGTAGTGATTATGATTCGTGTTTAGGGTAGCTAAATAATGTAGTGGCAATAACTTTTCCTACGACCTTTGATGGTCAATAAATGCGTTGTGTATACATAACAACTGAACTTAATAGAAGTAATCAAGTGTTCTTTAATTTTTCGCCAAGAGAGTTTTGAATCCTCCTCACACTTAGACCGCACCATCAGTTAACTGAATTATAGATAATGTAGTCAAGATTTTAGAAATACCTGTGTATGACCTCAGCTGCCTCGTCTATTTCATAAGGATTGCAGATCAAGGCTTCGTGCATCATCTCTCCGGCCCCAGCGAATGGAGAAACGATCAGAACACCCGGCGGGGTGTTGATCTGACACGCGACGAACTCTTTCGCCACCAAGTTCATTCCATCCCTGAGCGGCGTGACCAAAGCGACGGCGGCGTCCCTGTAGAACGCAGCCAGCTCGTTCTGACTCACGCAGCCGTAAATGTAACGGATGGGCGACCAATTAGGCGTCGTGAAACGACCGTTGATACGGCCGATCAGTTGATCCATCTCCAGCTTCAGATCCTGGTACTCGCGCACGTCTGTTCGCGACGGTACAGCTATTTGAAGCATGGTGACCTAAGGCGAAGCAATTTTCAAATAAATCACACGATCTGTCTGCACAATGATTTGTCAACTGTACATGGTGATTCAGGATCGAACGATTTCCTGAAACCTCTAGAGGATTACCTGTTCACGGTGTTCCGGGTGCTTCTCCAGAAGCATCTCGAAAGCTTTCAGCCTGTGAACCAGCCCCTTCGTGTAATCAAGACGATCAACGCTGAATGCCGATTGGAAGCGGTCTGACGCGTACGGTTCTTCCACCGTGCTCCACCAACAGATTCTTGCGATCAACCCTGCAGCCGAGACACCTCTGGCAGCAGTCGACGAAGTTCAGACAGTAGTCCTGAATGTGAAAACCGACCATGTCGCAACCTAACACGCGATTGTGCTTTCGTCAGAAATGGGATTCCACCATGGAACGCTTAGATTAAGGACGTCTGGTCGGGCGTCGAATCTGGGGCGACAAGGTAGCTATTGTCGGTTCGGTTGTCGGTTAGCCGTTCAAGGTCAGTTTAACTTCAAATCAATTTATCATTAGATAGCTATTAGAATCATAAGCACCTAATTCTATTCGTCAGCCTCCGTTTAAATATAAAAGGACATAAAACTATGTCCACCAATACGATTAACCGAAGACCTACAGTTACACCTCCATATGTCATTGTACGAAAGAGAAATCACTAACGAAGGGAACTTTATTAAAACTTTCTTTTTATGAACTTCCAAAATCTAGCAATCATTAACATTAATAAATTCAACATCTACCATTTGTTTCATGGAGTTTAATTTAGTATGTACTAGCAAAAACAAATGGTTCATTTGTCAACAACATTTGCGTTTGATGCAGATGACTGGCAATGCCGCTATGCTTAGCACGCACGTTTTTCCTTACAATGGAAAGCCGAATTGACTGTCTTCAGAGACCATCAGCGACTAATTGTTCCTAGGCCCGACAGTAGCTAACAATTTCGACTCCAACCGTGAAGATTTCATCGAAACAATTTACCAAGCATTCCCTGAAGAATTTCGTCCGCCCACGGGAACAGCCTGAATATGTCCCATGGTGGGAAGGGGATGTGGAGGAAGAAGCCCAACTTTAACCTAAGATTCTTCTCGTCGGCCGCCTGTCGGATCCAGTTCGCGGCTAACATCAAATGATAGTCGTGCACCCAGACCAACGGCGTGCCGTTCGACTGATTCTCCTGTTCCTTATGAATTTGTTCGAGTGCCCGGACCTGAATACCAGGAAGGATCGTTATTAGAGTATACGTAAAACCTGGAGATTTTTCGAAAATTTCAATTTGCTTGAAATTCTACGATACTCTCAGAAATTGATTATTCGGATGGACTTACCGTCTTCGCGGCGAATTCTTCATTGACCACCGAGTAAGCGCGCCAATGTTCGGCGATGAAAGTCGCTCTATCAGGCATCGAATGGAACAATGGCCAAAAGGTTCCATTGCAACAACCGTTATAGTACGAGTCGAAAACGAGTGGCTCGACGTGTACTGCTACAACCTGGTTGACAAACCAATAACGATATGGTTAATGGAAGAATCGAATCATTAACTCTTGACTACTCATCTCAGAGACGAATTTGAATTTTTATTTCACTATCATCACCTAGCCGAGAACCTTGGAAGCTCCATTTTTAAGTACCTTAAATTCAAGAGCAGTAATGACATATACCATTTAATTGATTATTATGTTGCTAAGTGTAGTCGTTGACGAATTATTTATCTCTGAGACGAGTGGTCTGTAGTTAAGGGTTAATGAATCATCGAACGTTCTATTTTAACAAATATAGAATAATAAACTTGATATTAGATTGCCTAGAGAACAGTGTGTAGTTTAAGACTATAGATCTTCAGATAATAATTGCGATCTATGGTTTCTGCCACTATTTTTCAAGGCATTTGTATTTTTCTGTTCTTACAAATATAAAACAGAATGAAATAATTCAAAGTACGTATGATTTCCTCGGAGACTCGAATATTATTAAATTACGCGAATTATTATAAATTTTACAGAAGTACACCGAAGTTCAAAGAGTAATCGAACTTATAATAAGAATTCATTTACTAATACTTCACAATTTATTTACTTGTGGAATCTGTATGAGTTTCTTTGCTCGAATCAACGTCCAATAGGGAGATAGTCTCATTCTATAGTAATATATTATTATGCTCTTCTGGAAATGACTGTACTTAACATGTAAAAGGCGACCAGCTGATATATTGTCGGCGATTTGACGTTTGCCAAGTTATTCGTTACGTTCGATCGACGCTCGGTCGTTTGTAGCAATTGAACGAATATCTACGACTTAAGTAGATAAAAATAGAAGTGCAATCCGAGTCGTAAATGTACTACCACTGCAACGGAACGATAAAGACTATTATAAACATTATATTGCCGCGTTTTAGACTTTATTTTTACGAAGATAAAATTCGTAGTAAAACAGGATAACTCGTATTATCGAAATAATGTTTGTAAAAAGTGAAATAAAATTACCAAGAAAATAGATTTTGAAAACATATCAGATATCTGTACCACCCGACAGGACTTTGCTGTCATGTTATTTCAATACTGATTACTCCTCTCGACCTTAATGTTTGTAAACATTAACAGTCGATGTCACAATAACTCGACACACACTGGTACACTCGAAAGATAATACCACCGACTCCGATTTTCAAAAACGAGTCTGTAAAAATTGGAATTTAATTTTAATCTGTAAACACTGGAATATTGGCAACCCATTTATAAACATTGTCAGTATTCTATTATTTCCTACCTTCCACAATAATTTGATACAAACTATTCTTTAGAAGATAATAACATCAATTCTCATTTTCGGAAATCAATCTGCTAGAATTAAAATTGAACTTCAGTTCGTAAACATTAGAATAAAATATAGTTTATTTATAAAAATTGGCAGCGTTATTCTCCAAGTACCACAATGATTTCATATAAACCGTTAAAGATAATAGGATCGATATATCACCAATAAGATTGTATACAACATCGTCGGTCACAGTAAGTAGAAACAGTGAGCAATGGACAGACACGATAGCTAAATTGAGGGGCTGACAACAAAAACGACCCTTGACAATCTTTTTCCAAGAGAGTAAAAAAATACTCTGGCATCATCTTTAGGAATCTTAAAAATCGGTCGATTTTCTTTTCAGAATAAGTCAGAGTCAAGTCATAGGTCGTTTTTGATAGTACAGGTCCCGCCACGTGAGTCTCGCTTCTGACTACTAGAATCTTCTATCACAAAAATCGAACCTTTGATAAACGTTATTTTTGTTACGAGCCCCTCAATTGTTACTTCCTGTTGCGTATGGCTGACGATTTTTCAAAATCGACTTCTTTGAATTACCCTATTATTCGTTGCACTACGGATTACGTCTCAATCTGTAATAGAGCTCGTTATATCGGGCGTTGCGAAACCTTTTGTTTCTTTCTCGATCAAGATACGTCAGATCCACCCTCAATGGTTGTGTCTACGAGGAGGCAGGCATTAATAATACCCTCGTTAGCGATTACTCCGGATTTACGTCACTCGGCGATCATGTTTTTCGCGTCCGCGAATCAACGAAGCCGTGTGTCGCCTCATTCCTGCGCGTTATCGAATCATTTGCTGGTGAATTAATTATTCGAAATAATAAATTGTTTTCAATAGAGGATCAATCGACGATACGCCGACCGAACGAGCTTGTAGAAAAGATTTTGAAAATTCTCCAGGGAACTGCTTTGCTCTTTGTAACAGTTCTCTTTTTGCAGTCGTTCGGTTCAAGATGTCCAGTGGTTCTGTTAACCCTTTGCACTCGGAATTTCTAATTTTCCATACATTTGGTCGCTTAAAAAAACACCTACTTTCTTACATAACTAAATATGAATAACTCCTAAGTTAAATTACAATTACAAATTATATTTACAAATTGACGAGTTTGGTCCAGATACTGAACTTGATGCCATCCCTATCCTGAGTTCGACGTGTACTCGAACCCCTCACGTCGAGCAAAATTGTCTCGTAAATAAAGACATTCACGACAACAGAGAACGGCTACATCACGTGGCGTCGTGACGGTTTGACAACATGTTTTGAATAAAAGAATCGGAGTAAGCGGGACGCGCGGCATCGGGGGATCGGTCTGACTGTATATCGGTCGATTGTGATGCGCGCGGGTGTGTGCACGCTTTCGACGAACCTCGCGCGTCTGTGATAACGAGTAATTAAAATGTTTTCGTTCGTTCCGTTCGTTTTTTGGCGCTCGGGCGTACCCTCGCGTGCACGGAATGTTTACGGTCTTCGGTCGTAAGCGGTATAATCGTCTTCTGAAACGTCTGTGACCCCTGTGCGCGTTGCGAAAGAACCGCGATCAGCCCTCCTCGCGTCTTTCATTTTTCTGTGCTCGTGATATATCTAATATATAAAACTACAAATAAAGGAACAAAAAAATCACTCTTTAAAACAGAATTTTTTCCCCAATTGCGTCCCGTATATCGTATTTTTTTTCACGGAGTGTATCTTTCTATGAATTCCAAACGATCCTCGAAGATCGAGGAATCTGGAAAATCGAATCATCGGAAATAGCGCTGACCTCTTCGGTCTTGCCCGTCCGTGTCAGCCACGACACATCACTTTGATTTCTACATGTCGCGAGAAGCAAAAAAAATTACATAAGCCGACGATAGGTTTGTCCCTGGTCGATTGAATTCAAAACAGCTCTGTCTGCCTCTCTCTCTCTTTCTCTCTCGTCGATACGAACACGGGGGCAGAGCGTTGAATAACGGGAACTCGGTATCATGCCGCTCCTTTGTTTCTCTTTCATGTCCGCTAATGGTCAATGGGGATGGCGTTTAAGAGAAAAAGGCACGCGGAGATAATGAAAACTTGCTCGAGGTCTCTCGCGCGCGGTTCTATTAATAATTATATTAAGCGGCGTACTGAAATAGCAAGACGTCGTCGGTTACACGACACTGCCTTCGATCGAAATGATCGAACGGTTAACACGTGTTACCTACGAATCACGACGATTTATCGTATCGATCGAAAAGTTCTTTGCGTTCTTTTTTATTCGGTCCGATAGAATGTGTCGACTATACGTAATACAAGGAAATTAAATTTTACAGTGACGTTTGTTAGTAATTATACGAGCATAATTGCCTATAAATCATCTTCGTGTTATTGCCTTTAGTCGACAAAATGTTTCGTGTCGAGATTTCTGAAATTAAATTTTGAACTATAAGACTTGTTTTGTGGTATACATTTTCTAAATGTTTTTAATTGTTTTGGTGATTGTTGAATATCGGATGAACGTATGTTTCGTTGAATCAGAATTACGTATCAACACGTGCCATAGATTCTCAACGTAAAGTATGGGATGATTCTACGTGACGAAGTGTTAGAAATATGTTAATCAAAAGCATGCGTTTCATTTCAAAATCCATAGACGTTTAATCGCCTTCGGAGATAGATATTGTGGACAGTAATTGATGGGCTAAGACGATAGGTTTATCTATAGAGGCTGACTCAGTATTTTCTTGCTTCATTTGTATAGATACAGAATGATCCGGCAAAATCCTCCGAATTTTCGGATTCACCGTACACCACATCACCGATAAACGTGGAATCTATAAATAATTTTGAATGACGTGTAAACCACGTGGTTTCATGCACCAGCAGAGTAAAATAAAATAACAAACTATCGAAGCTTAAAAATTGTTCCCTTACTTGTTCTGAACGTAGTGAAATCCTCAACCGAAGAAATAAATTTGTAGTTTAGAAAATGTGAATTTTTGTGAACGAATCATTAACCACACGGTCGAACGATAAGGCATTGATTATAGAATCGGTTTTTCCGAACAGTCTGAACGGTACGAAAAAATGAAAAGTCTCGAACGTTCAACAACAGACTGGAGAATATCTATATTTTCACGATTTTTGCGCGGCTAATGTCAAACGTCAAGATTACAACCGCGAATGTAAAAGTTAGCCACGCGGTTTATCGTGATATGCTTATTCCGGGGGCAGGCATTTATCTGCTTTTACCAGTACGCGTGTAAGTGGAGTTTATCCTTTCACAATGGAATCACTGTGATTTTATTGTTTAAAAATATATCTTTCCCGTCGAATGCCTCTCGATAAGATTCGAATTACGAGGAACGCCACGACGCGTGGAAGACGCTGATTATGTTAAACCATTGAACGCATAAACAGACATTTTAAAATAATAAAAATTGTAAGATATGTGGCCGCATAAATCAGATAGATTGTCAAGAGCTAATTCGATTATAAAAGGGGTGAATCCGGATGGAAAAGATAATGTTAAAATGTTCTTACGACTAAGACGCAATTTTTTGTTTCTGCAGAACGAAAAAGTCATGTGTCTTTATTATTATTCTTCGTTGTTATTTAAAACCCTGCACTATTTTTTTGGAGAACAAGCGCGGGAAAACGTATTAAATTCAAATTGTATTCCATATTCTTAACAGAATAATGGCTAGAGGTGTCAAACAAAATGCTCCTCCTCCGTAACGAAAGGGTTGAAAGTGTCACGAAATAGTCGTTGTCGGATTATTCAACTCTAAAACGATTCGTCTGTGGTTAAGGGTTAAAGTTGCAACGCTTGCTTATACAGGACGTAGACTCAACAAGAAAAAACGTGTTTATATAGGACCAGACAGTTAACACGTTAAACGCCGAGCTGTAGAAAATCGTTCTGTCACTCAAAAAGTTTTATATCGTCTGGTTATTTAATTTGTATGCTGGAGGTCAGATAAAAATAAGAAGAGTTCCTTTTGAACATGGAAAGAAATTAGTTCAGAGGCAATTAAAAAAGTGATAGAAACGCTGATGCGATTACTTAAGGCGGAGATACGCAAAAGCATCGACCACTCACGCATTTAATCTCAACACGCGATTGCTAAGTTTCTTAATAAACACCGTAAATTGATAATTTGTTTATCCCACGAAGAGATAACAAACATTGATTCTGGACACGAATTCACGCATTTTATCAGTTTGATGGGAAGTAAATGACCCCTGGCCGTTTTGACACTTTCATCGCCAAAACGTGATTCAACTGATCCTCCGTTCACGATACGAGGATTATGTATTAAGTATACCAAGAAGTAATTCATCTATGGCCAGTAAACAAACTATTTTGTATTGTTTGTGTAGAAATGAAATCACAATATCAAGGTTTTTATACTGGTTAATTATTAATTAACAATTGACCTCTAAGAATACAGAAAAGAAAATTAAACTTAGCTTACGTAATTATAAGAAATATAGGTCAAACCTTCAAATCACAATTATTAAGTAATAATTTAATCATCCACTGTAGCCGTTCAATGTTTAAAGTTCGTTTCACTCGAAATAACATTAAATGAAGACTCCTGATCTTCAAACGGCCGTATGTTCCCCACCTAACAGTAAGATTCATACGTATACCGATACTACGAATCGAACAAGTGTCCCAGCACTATGTAGCACGTGTGTTCTAATCGCAAGGACTATTATCGAGCCTAGACGAAACCCTACGCGAATGATAAATCGCTATACAGATTCGCGGGCGTCACGCCACCGATAACCCGGCTCTTTCGACCTCCCAACACGATAATCGTGGATCCTTGCCTCAGATCCATTCGCGTACGTGCTGATCGACGCCCCGTAACAGCTATTTAAGGAGTTCCTGCACTATTTCTTAGTCGTGATACACGAATAAGGTCACCCGGATGTTTAGTCGATCGGAATGGCGTCAAGGTCCGCCGCCCGTTATGGACGGAAAGATCATTTTTCTCTTCCACGAGGAACCGTCTCGGAGAAATCCTTGTATCGATACCTCGAAACAGAACTAGCTACAGTAATTGTGAAATAAAAAACATTTTCACAGAAGAATTCAACCCTTAAACTTCGTGATTTTCTCTTGGTACATTTCCTTGGATAGATCCGTTCTTCGAAAAATTTCGTTCTAACAATTGTTTCATTTTTCTGGGTGACAAATGATGAACACTGAAAATTTTAGGATACGTAATTGTATCAATTTGTACAATACCCGAACGTTTCTTACCACGAACAACACGGCCAATAAAACAAGACAATTGCGTCCGTTTCACGGACAATCAAATTTGTTCGTTGACGCACCACGATTCGATTAGGTCGATACTCGTCGATTCGGTTGGTGGTCATTGCGCCGATTAACGTGGTCCGGCTGAGCATCAATTGACCGAGGTCACGTTCAATGCGACTAACAAGGTAGCGGATTGACGACCGTGATCTCGGTTCCTGATCTGTCTTTATTATCGATCGTGCTACTTCAGATCGATTTCAAACGCGTTCTGACTTCTGCACAATCGTTCGATAATCGTTTATTTCCTTATTGAAACTAGAAGTATATTTACTAGGTACTGTTATCTAAAGACGATGAAATAATTATTCTCTTGTCTAGCAATAGTTTACAGATTGTCTAGTGAGTCGTAGTGAAACAAAGGAGATACATTAATAAACATAAGTAATACAATATTAGGTTGGCCAAAACATAAGAGGCCACATAGAGAATCTTTTGTGTTGTTTATACATATGTTGTGTATAGCATTTAAAAGCATAGAAACTACACCCTCTTCTCGTCACTCGGTTCCAAAACGGGGTCAATTTAAGAATATTTAAGACAATCGTAATAATTCTTTTCTTAAACGAAACATTGACGTGTCATTAGTTTTTGCTCAACCCAATAGTAGGAATTACAATGGTAGAGATTCGAGCTGTCAACGCGTTATATTTGGGTCAATATCCCGTAAGTAAATAATTAAAATGTATCTTACGTGATAATTCGTGATAAAAACGGAAATATGGATAAAACAAGACATTAAAGCTTGTTCCCCGAAGCAATATTTATTCTGTGGTCAGATGACGAACCCGAATATGACTTTTGCACTCGCAAGCGAGAGTTCGAGCGATGCTTCTAGACAGATACGAAGGGTAGGCAAACAAATTTATCAATTATCAGTAGGCACGGTCGCGCACAACGCGAGTAAGTACACGGTTGGTAGTCATCGCGGATACGAACATGATCAATACAGGAACGTTCGATATAATCGGTTTGCTTTCCGAACTCCTCTTGTGTGAACAAACGAAATTACGTGGAAGATATAGTCAAGGGCATTTGTAATATATCATGAAGAAAGTGTAATTATATTTTTTTTTCAGATAGACTATATTATGTGCAATTTTCCCCTATCTTGATTTTCGCTCATATTGTTCTTTTCTACTTATGATTGACAATTTTTAGATTTTGACACTTTTAACTTGTCATACACGAAACAAACAATTTCATTTTTATCCGAGACTAATTGTAAGTATCAATTATCCGTCATTTGGGTGCGATTTGAATTCGTATAGACGATATTAGGTACGCTTAAGATTAAAACCCCTTTTTTCACATAGAACTCTGATTTCCGTCGAGTAATCGCTAAAAATATGATCCTGCATAAACATCCGCGGTCTAGACAACGAGATTACACATTCGTCATTCTGCAGATGCCGTTTCCCGTGTCATTCGTACCGCGAACATAATCGTACGACGGAATATTTTTCTGTCACCCGATCTTAAAGGGAACATTACGGACAACGGGGGAGGGTAGTGAGTCATCGGCAGGAAATTACGAATAAACTATCAATGCCAAGGTCGACGCACACATCGCGCTGTTGGTGAAATTAGATCAACGTGTCGCGTGGGTGTTACGCGGTAAACACGACGTCATTGTCCACGATCGTGACAATGAATCGTGAAGTGTATTGTGCCCGTCACCGCGAATTCCAACACGAAATCAAACCTTCAAATTATTCATATTTTCAAATTATTTGTATTTTCAAATTATTCCGTTCACAAAAAAAATATTTGTTCTCCCGGAGATAAGATCAGATAAGCGATTGTAAAGAATTTGGTCTATCGCCGGTAAAAATCTGGTTATTAGTCAGAAATAATTATTTTCAATGAAATATATATAACTTTTAACATGTACGATACATCTACAGAAAAAATGATTGTAATATAATTTAACGTAACGTACTGCAAACCCTAGTTTAGGGTGAATCCATAGAACACTTAGAAAGATTCCTTACCTTGCGTGATAGGAGGCCAGCTGTCGGTGTTCGATCGTTAGGATCCGATTCGGGAATTGGCTCATCCGGATTTTCCATGTGCATTCCCGGCCATCCGACCCAGACTCCATTTCCGCTGATTACCACCGGTGCTACCGCAGTCACAAGACCCCCAGCACTGGAAAGAACAAATACATGAACCTTAATAAACGAAAACGTTCCGATTTATCCATATATATTCTTTAAAAAAATGCTTCGAGCGTTTAGACGTGCTTACGATAAGTAGAAACGGGAGGTAATGGACAGACACGTTAAGCAGGTTCTATTTATTTGCTTCTTTTTATTGTATCATCATCTTTGATGATTATACTTCGAATAATACACCATCCTGTACATGCCCGTCAGTGACATTACAAATACTATAAGCCTTTAAGCCACTTAGAACATTCCTTGACTTGGAGATTTAAAACTCTTATTTGTCTTACTTTAAGGTGTACTACTATTTCTTAACCACTTTAGTAATTTCGAATATTTTAATACCTCCATTGTAGACACAATTTGTTGTGTTTTATGAAATACAAGCTTCTTGTTGCGGGCTTTTAAGAAAGTAAGCGTCACGAAGAAGTTACGAACCTTCGCTGCATCTACATTGCACATTTGACTTAGTTGTGAAGCTTCAGTGCTTCCATAATTCTTATCGCAGAGTACATACAGCAACAAGCAGTAAAATTCGAAGAACAATTGGCAGAATAGATCGTTACTCTCCGAGGTCTCTTCGTTGAACTGTAGACTTTGTGGTTCCTTCGGCATTTTTCTACACCACGAGAAAACAGGAAGACTCTTGCAGAGTATGAGAAATCAATTGAACAGTAAAGTGTACGATCCGTCAACAACCGCGACCCTCAACTTTGCATACGTTTGTTCCGCGATCAACATACAAGCCGTTTCCTAAGCGCACGTGCACAAAACTCGGACGGATGCGTGACCATGCGATGACTTTTCTGGAATGGTCGCGATCTAAAGCGCCCTTTAACCTCGTCCCACATACACGCACGCCCGAACGAAATCGCATTTGGACTGAAACCAATTTTGTTGTCATTATATCTCATGAATATTTAAAACGTGTCTCGTGCTGTAAAATAAATTATTGCTATTGACTCGAAATGTAATTAAACCCGCTGAACCACGACTGTCTGCTACGTCATCCACGTGTACCCGACAAAACTTTTAACTCTGTTACAGATTTTCATCTTTGAAATGAGACACTAAATGGAAACAATACGACTTATATGAAATTCAATGAGATACTGAAAGAAAAACTACAGTCATTGATCTTGATTTCTGAATTTCTCGTTTTGACGATAAAAGGGCGTTTTTTTTAGTTGGTGAACTTTGTAGGAAAATGAAAGAATTTATTATAAATTTATAATTTAATAGTGATATGCTCATAAAGATTTCAATCGTAATTCCAAGGAATAGTAATTGAAGGATTGATTACTGATTCCTTTATACTAAGATGAAAAGAGATACAAGATTAATCGATACATACATCGGTCGTATGCCCGTCGATGGGACGTATTAACGAATTGAGTTATTGGCACGATGTAAGTGTAAATTTGTAGTCGAACCTGGCTGTCATCCAGAGCCGAGACAAAGAAACTTTGACGACTGTATAATCGGCCGTGGTCAAATCGACTAGGTCAAACCGTATAATAGTGAGACTACTCTATACAGGATATTCTAAACGTTACGTCACAATGAAAGAGAAATTTGTACTACTTTTGGACTATAATTACTTTTGGACACGTATTGTTTTAGTCATAAGTAATATAATCAATACATTCATGAATGTAAGACATAATTATAAATGTAATTTGAAACGACACTACCTGAACACGTACATGGTCTCTATGATCATGGAATTTCTCAGTATTCACGTGAATGTCAGAACTGGGTAAATTATTTACTGTACCTGCTGATTACTCTGTCAATTATTTGCTCGTTTATCGGAAGAATCTTGAACGCTCACTTGAAGCACTTAATATCTATCATTTTCATGTTTACTATTTCATTGCATGTCCGAGATAATTACACCTGTGTTTCGATCACTGGCTCGGTATAATCTTGAACAAGATGTCAGATAATTATTGATCATTGCAGTTATTTTTTTACTACAAAGTATCCTTCGAAGTAATGAATATCTAATATTTCCTTTTAATATTTCAGAAACAAATTACAATTCCAATAAAATTATAATTATGAAAAGGAACAAAGACATCGGAGATTACGTTTGTCTACATCAATGAATAGATTTTTTTAACCACTTTCTTCCTGCTATAGCTAAACAAAAAACTAATATAACTTGTTATCGAGGCCTAAATTTTGTTTATATTTGAATATTCCACTGAATGTTCCATTGACAGCAGTTACCTAGGTTTCTAAGGATTTTTTAACTAGACATGAGAACGAAAATTTTCGAAATAGTATGAGTAAATATTTAAATAATGGATGTATACATAAATTGATCAATAAAGAATTAATAAATACTAGAAATCTATCGAGTATATGTTTCAAAATTGATACTTTCCAAGGTATTCAAATTGTCATTGGGAAGAAGACAGGCTATTACGCGCTTGCACTTTCAGCGGAATGACTGATGTCTTAAGAGTTCGGCGTGTCAACAACAGGTGACATCGAAATTAACATGTCTTACTATGGATTAGATTTTTTTGCATTTTCAACGATAAGGAGATTTACTTCGGCTGGTCGAGCTATTTCTAGACGATTATTTCTCTTGTTTGCATTGATTTCAGTATAAAAAAAAATTTTTTAAAATTGTATTCTGTAGTTTCGATTTATTTTTTCGCGTAGAATCACCCTTTATCCACTTGTACCACCAGTTACGGGACACCCTGTATATTTTACGAGAAGAAAGAAATTGCAATGAAGAAAATGTTTCTGTCGATTTTTCGTAAATCATCGAATCGACAATTCACAGTCGTACACGCGCCCGACAAGTGCATCACCACGTGTATACGTGACACCAATAGTGTCCGATTTCGAACGGGAATCAATGCCACCGGTGACGAACATCGTGTTTTTCCACGAGTTTTGTTGTGTTTCGCGAGCGAACCGAGGAAGCTCGAGACACAAACCGCGATATAATGCATTACCGCAGACGTAACGAAGCCACGCGGAGAGCACGTGGCCTCGCGGAACACCTTGTGAATGAATTACGAACTCCCAACGATCGCTATCGATACGCCTTCCCTCTTATCGTTATCTGGGAATTTTGCACGTCGTTAGCGTCGAGTGCTCGGCTTCATCTTAGAATAAATGCAGGTGATACGAGGCGCCGGTGGGATTTTTGGATCGAGGAGACTTCGAAGATCGTTATCGTCGAACGTTCGAAAAGAAAGACGAAAAGAAGAACTGTACAGACATATAGATAAGGATACTCGACGAATGGAAAATTCGACTTGTGAGAAAATTCGCTAATGTTTATTACTGGGTCAGCGTAAAAATTTGTAGACTATTTACGTTAAAATTGTTAAAAAAATAAACGTTAAAATGATAAACGGAATTCCACTGTACCTTTCCAATACCGTCGTTATCTCCCCATGGCCATTTCGTAGGATGTACTCCCGTTTTCATTCCGGTCGGTTTGTTTACGAAATTTCAGTTGTTTGTTTGGCTGGTCGCGAATACGCGCCGCGATTGCAACAATAAGAACGGGAACAGGGGGAAGTGTATCTTTAATGTTTGTTTACAGAGCGCGCGGGTCTTTAATCTTAAGTTTCTTGGCAATCGCGGTCGCGTCGATGCCCGTACCAGCGAAACGTTTCGCCGACGATCGCTTAGGGGACGGTTCGGCGGGAGCAGTGGGAGGGGACGGGACGGTTCGACGGGGACAGTGGGAGGGGATTGACGCGAAGGGGACAGCGGGAGGAGGCACTGTCGTGTCCCCGCGCCGGTATTCTTATTTTTACGACGATGGGGACGGCGAGCGCGTATTTTATATGCGGTCGATTAGATTAGCCCGGTCGAAACAGGAATTATTTTCTACCCCGTCCCGATTGCGAACGTCCCGTGACTACTTTTATCGTCTCCAATACGATCTCATTGTTTCACTTAACGGTCAACTTTGCGGGACTTTCTATTTTTTTTCTTCTATACGGTTTTTATCGGGGCACCGGTATCAACGGACGATATGCTCGTGATTCACGCGAATAACCAGATAAGATTTTCCTTCTTATGTCACAGACAAAAATGATCGTATCGCGATTCCGTTTAACAGAATGATTGTTGTCAAAGTCGCGTGACATCGACACGATTTGTTGAATCGGGCGATATAATACGACCAGTGTGGATTAACTTGTTGCACGGTGAAGATGAGTGAGCTCGTCTCGTTCCCGTTGTTGACTTCACCACTCGGTGACTTTTTGATCGTGTATGTCACCGAGTATTAGAGATTCGAGACTTTGACGGTCCTGGTATTATGCAGTTATCACTGTCGAGAGTTCTGATGAAGATATATATGGTATTGGTTTGCGAAACGTTTGAATTATTTTTCTGGAGCTACATGTGATTTATGCCTGCAGGCCTAGACGGTGATAACTATGTAGACTGCAGAAGTGTTTATGCTGATTTATGATTTTCGAGAGCAATATATAAGAATTGAAATTAGTCAGAACATTATTTCTCGTAACGGATGTTTCAGTATATTAATAATAAGACGTTAATCGTACGAAAATTTGTTAGGATCATTGTTGTACTATATTTTTTATTTCTGGAGATGCTATGAACTGCATATGATATGCTTTCCCATATAAATGAAGAAACAAAGCATATAATCAGAGACTATAAATACATTTTCTTTTATCATTTTCGTATGAGATTTTAAATAAAATAGAAGAAACGTATGCTGTTTACAGTGCAAGAACATAAAAAAATACATAAAGTTGTTGTGAACAACAAACATACGATGTTTGTGAGTTGTATACAAAGACGAGTCACAGATATGATTGTTTTTTGTTTAATTTTATGCCGATAAGTGTATATACAGTGTGTTCCACGATTAAACCGACAAACTTCACAAACACATTTGGGAGTTTATTCTCAACGAAATATACATAAACAATAGATCGATTCAGCTCCGTTATCGAGATATGAATAATAATATAAAAATGGGAAAAGGTGGATCTGTGACACGAACCCTTCGGTCATCTGACCTATCCCCTTTAGATATTTTCTTATGTGATTGCATAAAATTGGATGTATACAAATATGAAAAGCCAAACACCTTTCATTTTCAAATTGTTTTTTTTTGTAAGAGTTCAATTTCAATTTTATTTTAAACAATAAAACACACTCAATTACGTCAAAACGACAATTCACTGTGAATTTGTATATTTTCAACAAGCTTAAAAAGAAACTCATCAGTTAAAACGACCTCAACTGACGAATGACGGAAGTCTGGTTCACTAAAGAATAAGCAATGTTGCAACAATAAAACTTTTTTTACCGAAGACAAAACGCAATTACAAGCGATGTCTCTGTGTCGACGTGACTCAGCGAATATCTAGTGGTTTTAAAGCAGAATTCTCGGTAGCTCTGTGAATGAAACGAGGTGGAACATCGACGATCGTTCTACGAGCGTGTTCTTACGAAAAATTTCATCACCGCCAACGCGCTATATGTGTAGATGCTCTCTTCGTAGAACATCGCCGCGATGTGTAATCGAGTACTATTTTTTCGCGTACCATAAATAAACGCGCCAAGCGCAATGCCGGCGTGCATTGGCGGCTAAGTCACAATTAACAATAATTTTTAACCAAACGACACGTGGCGCGACTGAAATGAAATCGGATAGAAAGACATTTAACCCTTAATTAATGAACTGAAAATCTTATTACTTCTTGCTTATTACACAAATCTACTATACACAAGTATTGTTACTCATTACACGTTTTACATTCTCGTGTAATAAACTATCGAAATGAACGAACATCACTTTAAGTAACTGTTGAATAAAAAATAGGATATTCTACAAATATTCTTGGGGCTCCTCAGACACCACTTTACCAGTTAAGGGTTAAAAATACTCAAATCTAAATAGATTTTGTGAATGAGTTGATAAATACTATAAATGGAAGGGTTACATATTTAATATATCCGAAATCTTTAGTGTTTTATAAATATGAAGCAACAAGGCTAAATATTACCCGTTTTATACTCTAGAAAAATGAAAAATATCGACAGTAGAAATGAAGAAATCAATTTCTTAAAATACTACATTTGATTTCAACGATTTCTTAAGATCCATTCGCGTTGTTAAAAATACAGGTAATTGAATGAAATTATTCATTTTCAAACGCAAAGAATGGGGAATCTGGCACAATAATTTTAGTAAACGGCTGACGTGTAAGAATCCGTTATAGGAAAGTTCTGAAAGCTAGTTTTCCTCGAGAGACCGACGCGCGATATGAGGAACGGGCAAATACTGAAGAAACTAAATTTTCCACGCTTATTGACTTATCAATCCCAATCGATTTCCCGAAATATTTTCCGACAAAGCATCGAACACGTTCGATTAAGAGAGAAATACGATCCGTCCGCGGATATTTCTATCAACTTGTTTACGCAACGGAATAAATTACCGAATAATCGAATATTCATACGGAAGAATACCGTCAATATTGTCGATCCCTGCAAATCTCTCGTCGACGTGTCGATCCACTTGGAATATCCACATACGTGATTCTCGAGCGCGAGAAGAAACGGAGCAGATCGGATGGAAAAATCATCCAAGAATAATTTTTCTGCCGATCGATTGCACTTCTCATTCCGATTGCATCTCAATGTTATTTTTCCCTGATTTTATCGAGAACGTTCCCATGGAAGAAAAAGGAAAAGAGAATGAACACAAACTGTCTGCTAATCAGACAGGTATTAAATAATCGATATATATGCATAATGATAATTCCGGTATACGCCGAGAAACTGTTACGGACACCGATACGATTTTATTTTTAAGTTTCAGAGTTTTGTATAATAGTAAACAAGTTTTCGCTGGAGAAGAGATAAACGAAGGGGGACAACGAAATCTGAAAGAGAACTAAAGATAAAAGTGTTGAATATTCTTCGTGCTCTCGTGAACAGAAACGTCTTTCGATCGAATTACTTTTTCTTAACCTACATAAATCGTTCTCTATTTCGTGACACTTCGTAATTTAATCTGGGGGGATTTGAAGATATTAATGAAAACTATGATACATAAGTAGAATTAAATGTTAGTTAGTTATAAAATTGTGTCTGAGATAATGAAACACTTCTGTATAAATATTCTAGGATTAATAATGTACCTAGTGATCGTTGAAAATTCTACTATCAAGTAAAAGTGACTGATTTTTTCCCTCTTATCGTATATTACTTCGACATAAGTTCGACACTATCTCTTCCCCGTCCCAATTCAATGAAACAACCGATAAGCATGAATTCTTGAAACAAGAAACAGGACTCATCCTCGGTATATGTTACGGGGCTGAACAGATCGTGTAACATATAACGAGGGAACGATACTCGATTTGACAAACATACAGGGTGTTAATAAAAATGTGGGACACTTTCACATAGTGTATTCTACGTGCCAAACTAAACCGAACATCAAGAATCACAAAATTGATTTCGAGGATTCGTTTCCGTGTTATTAATCGATGAAAATATGGGCGAAATACGTGTGAAATACGTCTGACGCGAAGGCTTATTCTACTTAAGACGAGCGTTACTCAACTATTTCACGAGTCCGTTTCATTCGTTTAATTTTATTTCATTCATTAAATTTAACTAGGTCGTGGATCGAGCCCTTATATCAGTTGGGAATCGACTGTTAAAGTAGTATAACATGATTTTCAACAATTAATAACACGGGAATGAAGTTTCGAACGTAATTTTGTTCTTCTCAATTCTCGTCTTAGTTTGACATGCAGAATCTACCCTGTGAAAGTGTGCCACATTTCTATTAACACACTGTATTATAAAAAATATATACACCCAATATGTTACCAAGAAACCAGATAAGTTCCTGCGATTTTAGGGTTTAATTTTAACGTGAAAAAAAAACGTACACATATCAACATAACTCCAGTTAAGAGGTTCTCGAATTAGGTAACGAATAAATAATACTGGCGGTTCAGTTAAACCGCAAAGTACCGCGGTGAACTCATTCGGTTACCTGACACACAATGGTCTCTAACACAAAACATGCACACCGTGGGGCAGACAAACTCGTTATCCACATAAAGAATTTTGAATAACAAAACATACCGCCATTATCAATTGACCAAACGTGAGAATGACAATTTTCATAGTAAAACAACACTACCTCTTGAACAAGTCGACACTTGGCAAACAATTCTTTCACGCTAGAACCGACAAGTAATTGCAAATTTCTTGCTTTACCATTATTGAAATTAGAACAGTGTTTTGGCAGACTTTATGGTCATTTTTAATTTCCCATAGATTTCATGGTACACTACATTACGCCAAATTGTACTATAGATTATATATATTAGCTACTATATTACACAATTTATTTTAATACACAATGCTCGTAGCTCTAGTGTTAATCTAATTACCCGTTTAAAGGTCAACACGATGTGTAAGAATAATTGACAAAACGAGATAGATAACAAAGGAGCTCCGGTGGATCGCTCTGAGCAAGCTCAACGTACTAACCTGGCTTTCCGTTCCAGCTGACCGGTCACCTCGTTCCTCTTCAGCACGAACGGCAACCTGTTGCTCACCACGATCATGCTCCCGTTGGAGGAGAAGCTGCCCGGCTCTGTGGACATTTCGACGAGTCTCAGATCAGCGATCAATCGCTCCGTGGCTGATTGGTACCACCGGCGATCGGCGGTGTCGCGTCGCGGCGGCTCCGTGTCCACTCTACTAGTTTTCCTTTCAAACGGTCTGCACGCGGCCGTCCCGGTCTCAGGCAACCGGCTCACTCTCTGTGCTCTTTAACCGTGTCGTTCGCGCGTCGTGTCTCTCTGTGTCACGTGCGATCACGTGCTTAACAGAGGGAAGAGAGAGAGAGAGAGAGAGAGAGAGAGAGATCGAGGTCGAAGGAAGAACCGCGCGGGAAACCGCGGGATCCGTAGTTGGCTAGTCTCTCGGCTCGATCGCCGGCGAGGAGAGGACACTTCCCCGATCTTAAAACGTGGACGCGCGTGTCTAGCCCTGGGGTTTGGTGGATGAACTCCTCGGTGTTTCTGGTCCAAGATCGCGTGTGCCGCCGCGTCAGTCCTTCGATCGTGTCCCGTTCCCTCGTATTTATCTTCGTCGTGTACCGAGGGCAACAGTGATAGAAAGGAACGGTGGATAACACACACACGAACGGGGGGGATGGAGATGACGAGGAAATAAGAATACGGTGAAAGTGAAACAGAGATAGAGAGGGAGGGAGGAGTCTTCTTAACCGATGGAGGATGAACGATTAGAAGAAGAAGAAGAAGGAGAAGAAGTGTTTGGCCGAGTTTTGATTGGTGGTGTGAGTGTGCCGCGCGATGCGTGGCCGAAGTAGCACTGAAGTAACAACGCCGCGTTCCCCTGAGTTTATTCGAGTTAGCCGTAGCGAGGAATTGGTCCAAAGTGCGCTCTCTCTGCGACCGTATCAATGACGGGGCCGCGACCTTTTGGCCACCCAGCGGTTACTCCTCGTGCACACAACACAGATGACACGTACACACGCACATACATAACTGCCACCCCCGAGACCGTCCTCCTCCTTCTCCTCCTTCGTCTTCTCTTCGCGGCGCACGGTAAACAGGACCGGTGTTCCTTCTCTTATTCTCGTCCCGTCTCTGTCTCGTAACCGCGTGTCGTCGCGTGTCGCGACAGACGCGATCAGGGTTATCAGCGCACCCGTTATCTCGTAATTCCCGGATAACGCGCTAATGGGACAACGGCGATGGCGGTGGCGGTGACGGCGGGCACGTACGATCTGTCCCAGCTGTACACACGTTCTTACTTGGGGTTCTCGATTGTCAACACGTACAGGGACACACGCACACGAGATAACCGGACTTCGAATCGTAACAAACGGCCAGACCGAATGGTTGTATTATTAACACTTTCGTCCTTCGTGGCCGTAGTCCACCACGCGAAATCAATCGGCCACCGCCGTCGTCGCGTCCCGCCATACGACATCGAATCTCGAGACCAACGACGACGACCAGCTGTCTGCCCCGGTCCCGCCGGGGTCTTCCCTTCTTTTTCCACGGCCCCCGTTGACGCGATCGCGCACGCTACCGATAAATCGCAACAGGTAAGAAATGGTACCGGGCCGGCTGTGCAAGAACCATGACGTTTACAGATGTTATGGTACCGATGCTACGGGATCGATTCCAGGTCACGTCTACCTACTACCCGTCCCCCCTGTGGATCGTAAAGTTTTAATGCGTTCCCAATGATGTACCTTGCGATACAAGTATATCTGGACCCCAGAGCCAGAGTGTATTGAGTTACACTTTTTTTCAATACACTCTTGCTTTGGGAGTATATTAAAGTCTTTTTGCGGAGTATATTAAAGTCAAATTTTAAATAATAATACTAATAAGTATTTTAAACATGAAAATTAGATTTTTTAATATCTGTGTCCGTTTATAACGTACAGATTTCACATTGAAAAATTGGAAAAATGTAGGTTAACTAAATTAAAACGAAAAAATACAGATTTCATCGGTAAATAAATATTTCTAACCAATATGAAACAGGGAATAGAAAAAGGAATATTTAATGATTTGTTTACTCGTTTTTATATTGTAGGATGGCCATCAGTGAATGACTGGTTAGTAACAGCGACGAGTATACTCGGTGATTCAAGTGTCACCGCGACGAGCCTGACATTGTTGACAGACAAAAACCTCGCTCACGGCTCGAACGATCGGTCGCGATTATTCGAAGCCTCTAGAAGGAATTTCCAACAATATTGTACAATGTTCAATCACTAGTACGTGTTCATTTACTGGTGAATCCACCCTAATAATATTTAAGTTACTGTTGAATCATTGGGGACGACAAAAACGTGATCCACGCCGAACGTTTTAAGAAGTTTTGCTCCCTCGTAAGGAGCCCTCATTTCAATGACTAAACTAATTGTAATCCCACGGCACTGTGTTAAGAATAGGAAAAATGGCAGTGTAACTTAATGGTATTTTAATTTGATGACTACTTTCTTTTTATTTTCACCGAATCGCGACTTTCCTACGTTGACCATTCGGTTAGTAACAGAAGAAACGCGATTGTCGGTCTAAGTGACATTTCAGGATTCACTACACGAATCAATTAAACATAGTGTTTTTTGTGAATTTGAATTATCAAAAAGAAAAACTGGAAAAATTTCTTTCATCATTTTACGTTGGCAGATACAATTTACTACCCCAAAAGCAACTATTAAATATGCAAATATATTACTCATATGTTCCTTCGGCTTTGTTCTCGAAAGATCTTGCAATTGTCTTATCATTTAAAAAAGACTAAACGTTATTTGTTGTCTCGCAGGAATAATTGTTAGAACCATGAATCATAGTGTATATTATGCCATTGGTTTCCAATTATGGACTGTAAAGAACGTAGCGATACGTCATCGCCTACTAGTTTTAGACTTTAAAAAGCGGAGTAGTACGTCATAGGTCATGAAAGTCTTAACTCTTCGTGATTTAAATTATTGGTTTGGTGGGAGAATAACGGAAGATAAATATCTGTAAACAAACCATCACTGTCAACAATAATTGACCTTTTTCAGCGACGAGGAGTACGATTATTAATATATACATCTTCGTCCGAATAAAGAAATTCGTATACTGAAGTGAATCATAACTTCTTGTCCTGTTTATGCACGAAGTGTACAGGCGTATAGATTACTGAAACTGGATTTTAAGTAACACAAAAAATATTACTCACTAAAACAATCAATTGATAAAATCGTTAGATAGAACGGGACAAGAAGTTCTGACTAACCCTTGTTAGTAGACTGACGAAGGGCATTCAAGTGTCAATCTTTGATTTTAATGAAATTTGACCTAAAGATGGATCGTTGAAAACTTGTTGATGTGAAAAGGGTCCTGGAAGTTGGAAATGGAAAACGTATTTAAACGAATGATAAAAAGATCTATTGAAACTGGTTATTATCCGTAGACACCTGTAAAAGTCCATTGCATCCACGTTTTTTCTTCAAAACCGAAATTCATTTACTCTTTAACATACCGTGAAATACATAAAATATTTATTAATTTTATTTAGTACGCTGTAAATAACGAATTAGAAGTGAAAAGAATCTACATACTAACAAGGTCTACTAGTATTCTAGACCCATAATGAATATTTTTCAACCAATATCGAAAAACAGCTACCCAGATGAGATCACTTGATTTCTTATCAGTTTTCCTGGATTATTTTACAATTTCAAACTATTAACTGTAACGTTACGAATAGGTGGCGGAACGATAACACACGCGTTACACATTAATTCAACAGATATTTTTCCAACACAAGAATACGAAACTTTCGATCATTTTTCCAAGATTTTCTCTAATTTTTCACAAGTGTCTAATCTGGCAGTGTGTTGTACTTTGACGTATTTGTTTCCAGCCGATCAAAGTCGAGGCGGACAGTGATTAATGGCAGCGATTACGCAACGCCGCGCAGTAGAACAACAGTGCACGAGGAAGAGGCGCGAAAGAAACGTGTAGCGAATGAAATTTAGGATATCTGACGTTCCCGAGCTCCGAAAGAAAAACACACGAATCATTTCCCCGTGGCGCGTCGTTCCGTCCAGGTAAATATTTAAGGTCAGCTTTCGAATATTTGCATGCGCTTCGTTTGTTTCTGCGCGACAAAACATTTCCGAAACAAAACCGAATACTTTTGTCTTGCTATTAGTTCCGATAATCGAGGTTCTACTGTATACAGAGTAGTGTCGATTGAGGTATGCTTGGGAAACTTTACACTGCCGGCATCTCAGTCGTCGCACAAAAGGTGTGCACGTGGCAATCGCGTAACCGTAATCGTGACACCCTCCCCTAACCCTCCACGTATGCAGTGTCTATTCTTTGATCGTGCATACGATCCCTCTCAATGATTCGTGTTGTTACGATGGCTGATCGTGTAAAAATGATAACATCATACAATATTTTTATTAGGTACTTTGCAATTAATAATTAGGACGAGGATGTTCATACAAATTCATAATTTCAATAACTATTTTCGAAAACCCTGAATTTTTAAAAAGTTATTAAGTTCAACAAAACTAATTTATAAAAAAAATATGTAAAATATCATGAACAATATATAATTACGTGTTTATCTGAATGATCGACATATAGAGTTTTAACCTTTTGACAAAACTCGAAATTCAGCGCAGTGCATACGTTATATACAATACATAAATTTTTGGCCAAAACAAAACCACCTTTCTTATGAAAAAATGTTAGCAGTCTAAAGATTAATAACAACGCGATTCGTAATAAACACGCGTTCCCAATGGGGAATTCAAAAAGCCAACGGCGGTGATTCACGCGCAAAAAAATGGTCCCGAAGCAACGCGACCGTAAACACACACGTGACTAATAACGTAAATTTCTCCAACGCCTGCGGGTAAGAAATATTTACTTTCTCGACGGCTGAACTTTTATCACCATCGCCGTCGCCGATAATCACGAATTCGGACCGAGTTTCTCGAAAAATTGCGCGCTACGGTATCAGCCACCCTAATCGCCATCGCTATTTATTTCAATAAATAATCTGTTTAAGAAAAAAAGAAACCGACAACGGGAACGCGAGAACCTACGGCCGTTTATCACGCGCGTGCTAGTTGCGAAACCATGGGGGGAAACAAGAAACAGAAGAAGACCAAAAAAGAGGAAGAGACGAATCTGTAACGTACATCGTTGTTCCCTCTTTTTCCCCGAATATTCCTGAAGCCCGATCGCTTTTATAGCCCTCGCATAATTGAAATTACGATCGTGTCGAACAACGCCTCGAATAGCCTAATTAAGGACCACTTTTTTTGCTCGTAAAACAGAAATGAAAATAGTCGGTCTCGGGCTGATTATGGTCACAAATCGAGAGGAGAGGGAGCATTCCTCCTCCTTCGTTACTGCGTGAAATCTTGCGTTCGCGCCTCGTGGAGGGAACGGGGGAGAGGGGCACGACGTGGAACATTATCGTCACGTTATCATCACGTGTTAGTGTTAGCTAATAACAAGCTAGAGGATAACGAAGGAAATTGGCACGCGTCGCGCACGCGGCTCCGCTCGGCTCTTCCTCCGCGGGTAAGAAGAGGAAGGACACCCACCGGATCGCGGGCTGACGACGAGGAAGGCGGTGCCGATTTGCAAACAATAACGATCATCGAGCACCGATTTCATCGACGATTGACAGGGGGAGATACTCAGGGAAAAATCGGGTACACGTGGTAGGAAATTTGTCGTTGGTTCCGCTGAGAAGATCGTTCTATTTAAAGTGCACACCGCGAGATAAAACGTTATTTTTTGTGTATTTTCGCGCCGGTACAGAGATGACATCGTTACGCAACCCGCACGCACTTCCATGTTTCCCATTCTGTAATTAAATGACGCACGTGTCCCCAACTGTCTGGCGGTTGCACCTCCTTATCTACTTGTTACAACGAAATCAAGTAATTGCCCTGAACTGGTTTCAACTGTACGCAAATATGAGTGGATGTTGTATGTTCGAATGTGTCGATATTTCCGGAACATTTTTTGTTATTTTTTATTTGGCTGAAATTCTTCTGAAAGAATTTTGTACAATGGAATACCTTGCACATTTTCATGATGTACGACCAAATACATATTTAGATACGTTTAACGGGTTCACTTGTGAGAGGACACTGATCCATGTAAAGAAGTTACAACGCAACTGCGTTAACAGTTTATCGATCGAAAATCAATAGTGGATTAGCGCTTTACGGACACCAGCCCATTAATTTCGTCGAGTTCCGATGCGACAAATTAGACAATTACATTCTTTAATATGCAATAAGAAAAACGTGTAACAAAAGAGAGACTAAAGAAATAAAGAATTTAGAAATACTATTAATAAAATTACTACATTCTAATACTATACCAACTATAAGTCTCCGCCCAGGCCATAATTCATCTTGTATTTTAAAAAGAAAATTCCTTTGAATCATTTCTCAATGAATTAGTTTGATTCAACTTCGTCTCAAGTTCCGAATTTTGAAAACACGTGCACCTGATACAATGTAAACAACACGAGAATATCAACCACATAAATGTCTGGAGTAAACATTTTCTATATGATTATAATCAAAATATTTTTAAAAAATGAAAGTTATTTATCAGTGCAATTGAAGTGTTTTTAAACGAAAGTTGTAAAAAATATTTTCAGCTTTTAATTCGACAAGCCGCGTGAATGACAGCAGTTTCGGGTTTCGTCGTAATACTTCGTAAAAATTCGTGAAACTTCGGTCTATTTCGGTTGGCACCGCGTCATAACCGCGAAAACCGATACCTTTTTTTCCAGTCAAACGTGAAAGGCAATGTAAATATATAAGCGGGCCAGAAATTGATATTGTTTTGCATAAATTAAAACTCCAACGAAACATAATAATTGTAATTATGTTATGTGTTTACTTTAATAAATCTGGAGATTCAGTAATGTTCGAAAAAAAAAACAAAAAAATGATTGAGTAACGTTTGGAATGTCCACTTTATACGTTTAACGGAAATCACAAAAAGAAACAAAGTAGTAAACAAAAATGCACAAAGAAGACTCTAACTGTAACATTTCACAAAATCGAAGCAGATACATATTGCCATGCATATTAATAGGGCACACATTCGAAACAAAAAATCAATCGGAATGATACAACGTATTGTTATGACTTGTGTATACAACTATTTCATACGATATTGTACGGTAAACGATAGTGTCAAGTCCACGTGTGCAAAGAATACGTTGTTACCACAAGAAAATCGGTACGAATAAATTAATGTCTTGGCATTGACGTACGAATACATTCTTACGAAGATTTTGCAAGACAACGCTGGCATGGGGATCTATGTATAACCGGATGAATGAAAAAAAGACTGCCAACTAGAGACTGCACGCAGCATTCTATTTAACGTATGTTGTAGATGCACATGTAATACCGTCTCGAAGGTGCATACAAAAGAAACATCTGATCATAGGAACGGAATATGTTCTGAATCATTTTCGCGACTATTTGTCATAGTCAAATTTATTTTCACGTATGACTCGTTCAATCAATAAATGGGCGACGTTCCACATGCGCCGAATATTTTAACCTGAATGGAAAATAATTCCACCGAGTGACATACTGCGTATGATCATACGCAACAATAGGACCTAAAATAACAGTGAGAACGAACACGAAACGAATCTAATTTAAATTATATTGCGGCACAGTGAATGTGATAAATAGCTTTATTAATGTATAGAGGATATAAAAACTCACCTCAAATAATCAATTCTTCAATTTACTTCGCGTGGACAACAGTAGAAAATACAAAGCCGTGACAATGACAATCACAAATATCCTGAAGGGCAGAAAGTTACTCGCGCACTCACATGTATACCCGGCGAAGCTCCGGTACTGTCTAGTGTTTTTACAAGAGATGTTCTTTCCAGAAGGTACCACTGGTAACTGGTTCCTCCTTCGCGAAGTTTCGGGTAAGGTGAAATAGCTGACCGAATCGATTACTGGCCTGCAATACTGACAGGCAACCAAATGAGAATACAGGGAAAAGTCCCTAGCGTGTACCTGGAAACTCCCCGCTTCCATTTAAATTCGACCATACATCAATGGTCAAAATAGTATTAACCTCACTCCAATTATCTTTGAAAGGAGAGAGCTTCCTCTTATTCTCTCATTATTATGTTGTAATATTCAATAGTATTTGTAACGTCCCCGTTACAAGTCTACTCCAAATTGATACGCTATTTTGGGTTCTTGCTTCTTACTCCTGCTCTTAGGCATCAGAGTGTGTGGAGCAGTCTGGAAATAAAGAAGAGGAAACGAATTGGGAGATGAAAATGAGAGATGCGTTTTATCTCCGAAGTATTGACAACTACCTGCCAGACTCATCGGTATAGTTATAGCTGATGAACCCTGCGGTCCCTGCTCTAGACATGTAGGACGAAAGGATGATTTCGCAGCTATAGAAGTGTATAATAGATTGCACCGTCTTATGAAAAAGCTGAAGCAACACAGAAGGACAGAAATAGCCCGAGGGTGAATCTCTCTTGCTCGCACATCGTAGAAAGTAAAGGAAAGTGTCAAGAGGGTGTTGGGGGGAAGAGATGTTGCACGTTGCACGCATACAATGCCTCCATTACAACCGCAGAATTCCCCCACCAACAGCCCTATTAGAAAGAGAGGCATTGACCAACGTTTTTGGCCTCTCTCTTCTGTGACTTCAGTCTATTATATATGCCTGTGTCGCAACTAATTAATCTATGGAAACAGAGTTAGAAATGAGCACTTACAAGAATTAACGACAACGAAGGGCCTCTGTCGAGTGCCGGGCAAACTACCGGCGTACAGTGGGACGAAATTCAAAAATATCTGGACATCGCATTTTCTTCTAAACAACTGATTATGCATATTTTTAAAAATGTTCTATGAAATGTAAAATGTATGTACTAAGCTATACATTTCTATTTAAGTTTTTTGTTCGATTTCTTTTTTAAATATCAGCATATATCCTAATTATCGATTGTATTATATCGCCGAGGATACCGTTTATGAAAGTTTATTTACAAATGGCTGATGTTCGTTTACGACATCTTCTTCCTGATTCTAACTATGTCGAGCCGTATAGATTATATAATTTCACCATGGGAAGCCGAAGCATATGTACAAAATTTACAAATTTCACAACTTGAAGATATAGCTACGAAAGGGTAATTTATTGTTTTGTGCAGTCATATAGGATGCAGTCTTTTATATACATATATAAATACTTTAACTTACTGAAAAATGTACCATTGGCAATTATTACGTTGACATTATATGTTTACGAACATTCAAATATATGGTGGTGAATCGATGTCAATTTATTAACTGTCGGTGAAATCTGTTTCGGTAAATAAATTTATACATTGTTTTTAGATGGTATGAATTTCATAAAAGATTAATGTTATTAAATCAACAAAGCGTTTTAGAAATTAATGCTTTAAGAGAGGAGAGCATCAAGGAATTGTTCGTTTCTTACAAAAAGGTAAACTAAATATTTACTCTTCTACGACAGACAATGCTTAATTCATATCGTTCTTATCTTATAGATACCGATTCTTATATACGAAGCTATTCAAATAGGAATATGGAAGCACAAAGTATTTCCCCTTTTGCTAAATATAAATACAGAGCCACAAAATACATTTATGCTTTTTTCCATATTCTATCATGAAAACATGTGTGTTTCCTTACTGGAAAATGTGCTGTTTCACTGTGAAAGTGCAGAAACCATTGATGATACAGTTCTTGATCTTGTTGATTATACAGTTAAATGCGTTTCCATACTCCTAGATATAGAAGATATCGAAGTTTTCGAGAACGTAAAAAATCCTAAGTAAGACACCATCGGCTCACAAAATTTAATATGCATTTTATTATAGAAATAACGCATCCTATAATTGCATTAATTGTTTATAATTAGTTCATGCCTGGAAGAAATATTAGAAAGAAAAAAAGAACTTGAATTTGATATTGGTGTGCGATGCATTTCAATTCTCCGTTATTTGGCAGAATTCTCAGACGCTTTGCCACTTTGTGTTTTATCCCGAATGTTATCTACGCACGATGTACCCTATCTTCTTGTTCAACTCATTGAAAGTCACCCGTGGGCGAAAAAAAATGCTGACGGTAATTAAACAGATATTTCACGTACACGTAGCTATTAATATAAAATATAAATTCTGATGAAATTGTTGAATCTTAGATGAGGATATGATATATGATGGTGGCTGGAAGAAAGTAAAGTTAAATGAAGAAGGAAAAATTTCTAAAATAGAGGGACAAGTTTGGATCGGTTTACGAGAATTATTACTTAATCCCAAGTGCGCGCCGTACTACGAAATTACAGATTTTAGAATGTCTCATTTGTTGAAGGTACTTTATGGTGTAAAGACATGAATAACACATAAAAATAATTTCTTATTCAAATTAGCTGCAGAAACATTTACACGAAACTGTGTTGGATCAAATTTCTCCTTTACTGGAATTGAAAAGATGGTTAAGTTACTTGAGTGTATCATCATCCCAGTCTAAAGCACCTCGGGCATTAAATGTTGAACTTATACCACAGGTTTGAAACAATTAATTGATATTGTTCATTTGATAGAAATAAGAAAATAATGTAAATATTCACTGATTACATTTATTATTGTTTTATTGTTAGATAAAATTATCAATTATGGAAAAGTATCATAAGAAATGGAAAAAATTAGCAAAACATCAATCAAAGTACATATTCACAACGGATAAGGAAGATGTTAAGAATGCAGCACAAATTTTAAGCGATGCATACGATCTGGATAAATTAGACTGTATCGAAACTAAAGAATGTTTTTTATGTCAGGAAACAGCACAAAAACGTTGCTCTAAATGTAAAGGAGCTTGGTACTGTGGAAGGTATAAAAAATTCGTTTATATTAAAACAGAACATAAATATATACTTCAACTAAATAATTACAGAGAATGTCAAGTGAAAGACTGGGCGAACCACAAAATCATATGTGATAAAATAACAAAAAGTGAAGAATGCAAACAGAAGGATTAATCTAAATGTTTTTAATAGAGGATCAAGTGTTTAATATCTACAGTTAGTTTCGTGGTATGTATATTAATGAAACCACATTATTTTACTTTTTAGAATAAAAAATAGCAGACTGATGTTCAAGTATTTATGACTGAATTTCTATTAATTTACCAAAGTATCTAAGAATAAGAGACATGTATATTTAAGGATTGATCAAACTATGCATACAAAAAGTATGTAGAATGTTTTATTAAAAGATCTTAGTGTACAGAACTTTGTTTGACATATTCCATCACAACATCCTTTGCAGGAGTGTCCTCTCCAAAGTCCTAAAATTAGGAAATACTACTTAATGGAAAGAAAATTTTTATGGCTAAGGAAACCTTAATGTAACTATTATAGTCAGAAAGGCATTACAGCATGAATTATTATTTATTCGGGTTCTCTCAGTAGAGGGAGCCAATGGTATCATCATTTAAATTAATTATAAATTATATTTGACTTTATTTGATTATAAGTTTATTTTAAATGTAATAATAAGTTATTCATACCTTTATGACAACACAGGAACACCCAACAACTTTTCTAGCTTTGCCAGCACTGTCAATCTTGCAAAGACCAGCCCATTCGCCAAGTTTCTTATTATTATCTACCCTAATCAATGGGATCTGATGTTCATTGCACAATGCTTGAACAAGTTTTTTGTACATAGGTTCATCACAATTTTCAGCTAAGATGCAAAGCATGGCTTGCCTCCTGAAATACAACAGACAGAATTGATATAAAAATCGAAAAGTTCATTGAATATTTAAAATAAGAGTATGTAGATCAGAAAAGGTTGAAGACAGCACTATTTAGTTTTTTTTGTAACGGGTTCTTCTCAGAAGAGGGAACCTGGTGTATCATCATATAATACATTTTTATCAATGAATGTCATATTTAAAACATGCAAAAATGAACTTACTTGTCTAAAGCTTTGGCGGCTTCGTGAAGACCATGTACGACACCATCGTGAATAAGAGCATTTTTAAGAACTTCTTGAAGGGCTGTGTTTACGTCGAGTGAATTGCCCGCTGACATCGCAGTGGGGCCATCGTCACTGTAAAAAAATAGAAAAATACCATTTAAATTATAGATATTTGATTCTTATGAAGTAGGAAGTTCTTGACGTATGAGAATTAAAGGTTATGTGTCGATTTCGTGTAGGACAGTTTCTAAATATTTTAGTTAACGTAATTTTTATGATAAATTTAATATATATTTTTAGTTATAGTTTCTATAATGAAAATTCCATTTATGTGTGAACAACGTGTGGTTGATAATTCGAGAAAACATACTTACTTTTCTACGTCTGACATGTTTCTGATGGACTGGGGAGCTGAAATAATCAGAAAATGTTAATGATTATGCCTTCGGGTTTACATTTTGAACTTTTTTCACATAAAATATACGCCGATGGCAATAGAATAAGCGGATATCTAGCGCATCGAGACGCGACGTGCTTCCATTTACCTTTTCTTACGAAGAAAGAGAAATGGTCCTTACTTGAACACGCGGTGCTTTGCTTGCTTACGCTCGTTTTGATTGGTCGGGTAATTGGCATAGTGCGACATCTATACGGAATTTTAAAAGTTTCGTTGATACAGGCACAGATGTTTTCAACAGTTGATAATATAGATTTTTTGTAAAAATTTTGAAAAAGAAAACTGTTTTAAAATTACATACGTTTTGTTACATATACATATTATGAAAATAAATTTGTTTTGTCAATATACCAACCATTCGTAAACATTTGAGAGCTATCTGAACATCTTTTTTTTTATGCAGGTTAAAAGGAATAAAAAGAATAAAGAATATTAAAATTATGAACATAACATGAACAAAAATCAAGGAAGTAACCGAACTATTGTACGCTTTTCAACAAATTTTTATTTTTCATACTTTCTAAAGTATGTATTCGGCGTCTTAATCATTTCTTAAAGTAAACATTTTGCTTACAAACTGTACAATACATTTATTTAGAATATCTGTAAGGATAACTATCGCTCCTGTTTTGCATCTTTCCGAACATTGCAGTTATGTACAGCCAATTTAGTTTTACGGAAAAGAACTATAAATATCTTAATTTATCAGTTATGATTGTACCATTACTTTACTCCTTAATTTCGAACTTAACTTCACGTTCCTAATAACCACTTTCATTTTTCAGGTTCTTATCTTCCACCTTCTCATTAAATCGAAGAACAATCAACCAAGTTTCTACCTTTAGAATGGTAATCTAATACTATATTATACACATCTTGCATAATTTCCTGTTACCAAAAATGAGAAATACATTGGACTTTCATTTATTCAACAAATCATTTCTAAATAATAAAAAAAAAAAATTAACGACGTTTCTTCTATTGGAAGCAGCGCTAAACGACAATCCTCTTTCATGATACCAATGATCGATCATACCATATACATTTCCTGACTATGAACATTAAAAGACAATAGAATCGTGGTAGCTCCTACTATATCAGGTTGCTGTACAACATGCGACCCTTAATAAAAATGCATCAGTCCCTAATTCGACGTTACAAAAAAAATCTTCCTATTTAGAAGAACACTATGTACTCATTACGTAACCTTTACATTTCATAAATGCCATTTGGTAGAACAGTCTCTCGGGGCAAATGAGATGATTCTGTCTGATCTAACAAAAGTTCAATAGACAATACTGGAGCAGCAACTTAACCGGTAGTATAGACGGTCTAGGTAGTGGATTTACAGGCGGAGTTCTAGCGTAACCAATTTTTTGTGTTACGTGGGTGGAGAATATCGATGATAAGGCCAACAATAATGCGGAGGCGGCGGTGGTTGTGGCGGTGGTGCAGACGGTGGTACGGATACCGATGGATGCTGCGGGCCTGGTGCTCCTGTTGGATAGAAGTGATGAGTGTGATGCGAATGGCGAGGATGACAATTTGCGGCTGTACCTCGGGACGTCGGGGACGAATCCAATGTAACGCCGGCCTGGGCCTGGCAGGCCATCATCAGACCGTGGAAATCGAACTTGTAGGCGTAACGCTTCCCATGAACCTTCGTCATTATATTTTTGTCGTAATAGTACCTGCAACGTACAACGGACTACCATGAATTTAATTCATTTCGTTCGTCAGTGATCATCACGATTTTAATTGACTTATTTATATAATTAAGAAGTAATACGACATTGCACTGTGTAACTGTTTTTATTTGTAAACAGTGGAATAATTTTGGGAGAAATTGTTTCGTTGGAGAGAAAGTTGGATGTCGCCCTGTTGCAAAAGTAGAAGTAACTGTTCTAGTCAGACATCGAGAAAAATGATGTATATGTATGTACTTACGTATATTCTACTTCAATTTAATATAAATTTCTCTTATAACATAACGAATGGACTTATAAATGTGTAAAGTTCAATGTTTACAGTCTGTTTTTCACTACCTAAGACACGATGTATCACCAGCCCTCACGATTAACGTACCGTCAACATTTTGACTGTCACAGTGGAAAAGGTCGTATGTAGTCAGACACACTTTATTTCGTTTCTCAAGTCATAAATCATCGAAAATATATATGTGTTTAGTTAATACAGGCTGTTGGTCATGGTTTAAATTGTACTGCGATATTGATTTTACGCAAAAATTTTCCAATGGCATTTAAATACCTAAACAAAATTTAGTAAATATATTTCAATAATTCTCGATACTAAATTGTGGGAGACTTCTCCTACGCTACTTTTTCCCCTAGCAGAAGCAGAGTTTGCTCGATAGTGTACTTATCACTTATATTTGGGTGACGTGGGCATTCAAAAATGTTATTATCGTCAGCAGTTTCAACCAATCGGACAATTCGTTCCTGAGTTTCTCTTTACCTGAGCGCCCGCGACAGTTTGTCGTAGTTCATGTTCGGCTTGCTCTTCCGCTCGCCCCATCTGCGCGCTACTTCGTCCGGATCGGTAAGTTTGAACTCCCCGTTCGAGCCCTCCC